TAGACCTTATATGTTACTTCAGTTCTGAATGTATTATTAATTGTTCTGATGACTCTGTAGTCCTAGGTCTAGACCTTATATGTACTTCAGTTCTGAATGTATTATTAATCGTTCTGATGACTCTGTAGTCCTAGGTCTAGACCTTATATGTTACTTCAGTTCTGAATGTATTATTAATTGTTCTGATGACTCTGTAGTCCTAGGTCTAGACCTTATATGTTACTTCAGTTCTGAATGTATTATTAATTGTTCTGATGAGCTCTGTAGTCCTAGGTCTAGACCTTATATGTTACTTTAGTTTTGAATGTATTATTAATTGTTCTGATGACTCTGTAGTCCTAGGTCTAGACCTTATATGTTACTTCAGTTCTGAATGTATTATTAATTGTTCTGATGAGCTCTGTAGTCCTAGGTTCTTGTTTTTGGGTATTTATAGCTGTATAGATGATGTTGATGTACTACAGAATGATCAATTAGAAAGTTAGACAAATAGCAAAGGACTTAATTACTGTAAGTGTAAGGTAATGTATTTCAGCTATATTTCTGATTATACATTTAATATAGATCAAAACCAATTCAACAGCATAACAGAAATTAAATAAGGTAATATTCTATTTATACAAATCACTAATTAGGCCTCACTTGGAATACTATGTGCAGTTTTGGTCTCCCTTTCTAAGAAAAGATATTTACTTATTGGAAAGAATTCAGAGGTCTACTAGGTCTTTGGGGATTGATTAAGATCTCTTAACTTATCTTGAAAAAAAGAAGACTAAAAGGAGGTCTTGAAGTTTACACGATTATCTGTGGGACCAATAGGATAAAGGAATTATTTGATCTGAATGCTTAAAGGCACAAGATTAATATATGAAAAAGATCACACTAGGCCCTTGTTAAGACAGTTTTATTTTTCCAACAGGGTTAGGGGTGCGGAATTCATATCACCCGGGATAAGAAGGTTTGCCATTATATTTTGCCTGTTGGACAAATATATATATATATATTTCACATTATTAATTGTTTTGCAAGAAAAAATTCCTGGGAGATTTTTAGGAGACATGCAAGTCCCTGCAAATTTTGAAATGCAGAACACTAGCACATACACACTAACATTTAAAAATGAATACCTCTAAACCTCAAACAAAAGAAATCTAAAATAAAACTGTCAAACTAGAATATAAATTTCTTCATTTCCAAAAAACAATTACTAAACTCATGCCTGGCTAGAACTAGGTACAAATGTTAATAAACAATATAACATAAATCTCAATGTTA